CTCCCAGCTGCGCCGGACTCTGCTCCCACATATCTGGGGGTGTCCTCTGTTATGTGGAGGTCTCCCCCGTTATTTGGGGGTTAAAAAAATAAAGGACGGGAGGATTTCTAAATAACTAAGCGTGGTGTTTTCAGCAAGCAAACTGCCAGCCTGCACCCCCCTTTGCCGTAGCCCCAGCCCTGATTTTTCACCCTCCACCTTCCCAGCATCGCCGGGAGGTTCTGGACACCCCCATTCCCAAGCATCTTCCCACCCTCCTCCACCTTCCCCTTCCCCACCACCTCCCTTCATTGCTTCCCCCCCCCCCACCTCTGGGCACCTTAACAAGGTTATTTCCACAGTTCTTTTGGCACCAGGGTGTTGGTTTTTCTCCCCCGAGCCCGAAGGCGCCTTCTCGCCAGCCCTGCTCACGTAATTGCTGCTTGCGATCGCTCCTCGCAGCCTCCATTTTCCACTTCCCCCTCAGCGCTGGGTTTCCAAGACGAGCATGGATAGAAATCGCTCCATATAAATCACCTGAATTAATTCCTCACTGCCTACATTCACCCAGTGAGAGGAAGATTAAAACCAGTCAGGGGAAAAATACCCGCGAAGCCGTTCGATAATGTAATTTAATGGCAATGTTATGGTCATACGGTAAATATTCTTTTCAAGCAGAGGGAAGCCAGCTCCGAGCCCATGAAGCGGCTCCGTGGTCCCCATCGCAGGCAGGGGTTTGTGCCAGCGACCACATTTATTTGGGGTGACACTCATCTGCTCAAGGAGCTGAGTAATTAGCAGCGCAAACGCAAACGAGCCTTTGCCCTGTTTATCAAAGCTCATCTCTGCGAAGGCAATTAGGAACAGGTCGGTGCTGCCAGGCTGGAATATCCCCAGGGCTTAACCTGTTTTCATCCAGAAGATGATTTTTTCCCCCTTGCAATGTCTTCAAAAAATGCTTTAAAATTGCCAGTTTGCTGCACTTTCCTCCCTATTTCCTGTTATTTTTTAAGTGCCCAAGGAGCGTACACCCATTGAAGATATTGCCGTGCCTTTTGGTTATTTTTAACCCCCCTGATCTCATCGTCGCACCCAGCGGGTGGGTGCTGTGGGGCGAGGGAGGCACCGAACCCACTGGGAAGCAGATTGCTTGCACCCAATTTTTAACAAACCTGTGCTGAGCAGGCAGCCCGGGCCTGGCTTTCCTCCCCATCACCACGGACAGGCTCTTGCATCTTCCCTGCTCTTTTAATTAAACCTCTTGTTAACGATCCCAACCAAAACGCTGACATTTAAGGACCTTAATTCAAATATTTGCTAACATAGGACTAGATTTTTGTGCCAGGAGGAGAGAAAGAGCACCGTTATCTGAACCCGAAGAGAGATTAATTTGCTTTTTATGGACCATGAACCCACAGCTAACGTGCAGCAGAAGAATTTTGGGCTTAAACAGGGCTTTATTCTGCGCAGTTAAGGGCAGGAGACCGTCATTTCTTATCTGCATTAAGCTTAGCCCTGGGTTGAGCGATGACTTTTAAGGATGCTGCTCCATTAGTTGCTGCAAAAACAACCACTTAGGACCCAAACCTTAATTGTTTCTTGCTGTAACACAAGCCAGAAGCATCCAAGGATGCTGCAAAACGCTCACCCACGCTTCGCCGGGAACGCTTTGCTCTCCCTCCCCTGCATCCTGGGGGATGGGGTGGATTTTGGGGGATAATTCAGCCTCGGGCAGGATGGAGAAACCCTTTGCTATTGCTGGACTTGCACATTAAACATGAGATACCCAAATGCTTGGAGATGGGGATGAATCTGTTTTTAGCCATTAGCCCTTGCACAGCCAAAACCTCATTTATAGTGGATAGGGCACATTTGAGAAGTGGATTTTTTAACCTCCCAACCAAGTGAAGCATTTTTGCCCAAAAGCTTTACTTCCACTACTTAAAATTGCTGTTACTAGCAGAGGACCTGCTGGGGACATGGGGGCTATATGTGTGTGTGTGTGATTATGTATATATATACACACACTCATATATTTGTATAATATTTAAATATGAAAAATATTGTATTTATAATATCTATGGTTACATTTACATATAAAATATATGTATGTAAAATATTTAGATATATATATAAAATATTTAAATATATATATAAAACCAAGGGGGTTTGGGGAGGATAAATATGCATTTAAGTCCAGAGCTGTATATTCTGTATCTTTTTAAAAGACAAATAGATGTCATGCTTAGGGACGTGGTTTAGTGGCAGACTTGGTAGGGGGGGATCGATGGTTGGACTCAAGGATCTTAAAGGGGTCTTCACCGCTCCAGGTGCCTCCGAACAACAGGTACAAGGCTCTGGTTGAGGAAAGCCAAATAAATGAGGATGTGGATGATGGGCAGCCTACACCAGAGGGGTCTCCACCATCAGAAAGGCCTACTGGCTGTATCACAACCATGTCCACAAGGAAGAGAAGAAGGGTGATGGTTGTAGGTGACTTCCTTCTGAGAGGAACAGAGGATCCAGTGTGAGCCCATGTTAAGGACATCACCAGGAAAGTTCCCATGGTTTGGTCCTCAGTCTGTTACCCACTGCTGATCTTCCATGTGGGCAGAGAGGAAGCCGTGATTTGTAGCCCAAGAGCAACCAAAAAAGACTCCAGGGCCTTGAGATAGAACAAGGGGAAACGGCACCAAGCTGTGCCAAGGGAGGTTCAGGTTAGAGATAAGGAGGAAGTTCTTTCCTGAGAGGGTCGCCAGAAGCTGGAACAGGCTGCCCAGGGAGGTGGTGGAGTCACCATCCCTGGATGTGTTTAAGGAGCGGGTAGATGAGGTACTTAGGGATATGGTTTAGGGGGTAGACAGGAACGGTTGGACATGGTGATCTCAGAGGGCTTTTCCAACCGAGCCATTCTGTGAGTCTGTGAGGTGGTTGCCAAGGGAATCTGGGGCACAGGATATTTTTTCCTCTCTCCTTATGATTAGGAATTAGAGATGGAGGCAACAAGAGGAGCCTTGTTTGACCCACTGAGTCAGATGAGGAGCATAGCCCGTTCCTCAGATTTTAGGAAAACCAACTTCCAGCTCTTCAAGGAGATGGTCAATAAGACCCCCTGGGTAATGGTCCTCAGGGACAAGGGAGCAGAATGGAGCTGGCAGATCTTTAAGGATGCACAAGAGCTCTCAATCCCCAGATGTAAGAGGTCAAGCAAGGAAGGAAAGAGACCAGCATGGGTGAGTTGAGACCTGCTGGCCAAAAGGCAAGAAGGAACCACACAGGCAGGTGAAGCAGGGACAGGAATCCTGGGAAGAGCATGGGGACACTGCTCGGATGTGTAGGGATGAGGTCAGGAAGGCCAAGGTGTGGCTGGAGCTGAACTTGGTAAGGGATACAAAGGAAAACAACAGCAGCTTCTACAGGTCTGTAAACCAGAAAAGGAAGGTTAAAGAAGGTGACCCCTCCAATGAGCACCAATATCAAGCTGGTAACAACAGACATGGAGAAGGCTGAAGCTCTCAACGACTTTTTTGCCTTGGTCTTCACTGACAACCTCTCTTCTTACACCTCCTGAATTGAAGGGCCACAGGATGGGGACCAGGGGGACAAAGTCCCTCAACTGGTAAAAGAAGATCAGGTTCATGACCGCCTCAGGAACCTGAACATGCAGAAGTCTATGGGACCTGAGGAGACGCATCCCAGAGTCCTGAGAGGATTGGGTGATGGAGTTGCCAAGCCACAATCCATGATATTTGACAAGTCATGGCAGTCAGGTGAAGGTACTGGAAGAGAGATTGACATCTCTGTCTCTTTGGGGAGACCTTATAGTGGCCTTCCAGTACCTGAAGGGACTACAGGAAAGCTGGAAATTGTCTGTTTACAAAAGCATGTAGCAAAAGGATGAGGGGGAATGGTTTTAAACTGGAAAAGGGGAGATTTAGGTTGGATATTGGGAAAAAGCTCTTCCCCATGAGGTGGTCGATCACTGCACAGGTTGCCCAGAGGTGGTGCAGGCCCCATCCCTGGAGATATTCAAGGCCAGGCTTGATGGGGCTGTGAGCAACCTGGTCTGGTTCAAGATGACCCTGCTCACTGCAGGGTTGGACTGGATCAGCTTTAAAGGTCCCTTCCAACCCAACACAATCTGTGATCCTATGATCTGTGTTTTATACACTGGGAATCTAAAGCCTGTGATGCTGATGGGGGCTGCAGGGTCTCTGTCTCCCACCCCTAACACTGCCTGTGCTTCTGTCCCACAGCCATGGCCCGGCTCCTCGTCACCTGCAGCCTGGTGGCCCTGCTCCTCAGCGCCTGGACCGACGTCGCCTTCTCTAAGAAGGGCAAAGGCAAACCCAGCGGAGGCGCCTGGGGCACGGGGAGCCACCGCCAGCCCAGCTACCCCCGCCAGCCCAGCTACCCCCAAAATCCCGGCTATCCCCACAACCCCAGCTACCCCCACAACCCAGGGTACCCCCCCAATCCCGGCTACCCCCGCAACACCGGCTAACCCCACAACCCACGGTGGGGAC